GTAACTACCCAATGGTTAGTAATAAAAATAAAATCTAATGTAATCTCTATTAGTTTGTTATACACTTATTCCTTATCTTTTATCGCAATCTGTTTACTTTTAACTAACATGCTATATTCTCCTTTATTTTTATTTATTTTTTATTCATACTTATTTTTCATTTATTTGTATCTTCTACATATATAATACTTAATATTTAATTACATTGTCACCCACTATATCTCTGATATCATCTTTTATTTCTGTATCTGACAACTTTTTCTTATTTTATGTCTACTTATATTTAATTTTTATTCTCAACGTGTTTTGTATCTTTTGTAGCCCTGAAGACTACCTGCAAAGTGGGTCGAACCGTCTGCAAAATTAAAATAATTACTATGTTTTTAATTTAGTATTTGTTTGACCGCACCCCCGACTAACTCCTTCTCAGAAAAAGGTACATTAGAAGAAGAGGTACTTGTCCATTAGCCGGGCGGGACGAAACCTCCCTTGTTATCTATGTTATCTTATTTATGCCATAAATAAAAATTAATTTTTTGTAAAAAAAGACTGCGTCCTGATTATTTATCGGCCATGATATGTAGAACAGTCGACTAACTTCTTTTAATATATTAATTTAATATATATGTCGTAAAATAAAAGTTTTTTTTATTATTACATTTGTTTTTGTTTACAATTTCAATAATACGAATATAATCCAATAAATATGAATACGAAGATAGGAATTATGAGAAGGCTTATCAGTGCCTTATCAGGATTATCAGTGTTGAGGTTATAAACATTGGCAGATAGCAGTCCGTCCCGCCCGGCAAATGGACAAGTACAGAAGAAGAAATTTTGAAAAAATTAGGTATTTAAGCCCTGTTAGAGAGCATCAATGAGAAGAACACCTACATTGAATTAAAAACCGCTTAACTTAACAACGAAATAATAAATTTAACCAAAATCGTTACAGCCGTATTTGAGAAAAGCTGCTTTATCATTCCAGGCATATACAAAGATTACGCCTTTTAGTTTTTTAACTGGACTGTTCACAGACTAATTATTTTTGTGACGCTTGGTTATTTGGACTCATTGGACGTCAAAACGTGTATTTCTGTTGAAAACTGGAACGACCGAAATACTTTCCATTCTATGTATTTCATACAGAGGTATATATATGGAAGTTAAAGAAATGCGACATATCCCGCAGATAACTCCCACAATTGAAAAGACTCGGATGGCTACCGGTCCACCGCGAGCCCAAGCTGAGAGGGTGTGGCCGGAAACGTAAGGAGGATGTATTAGTAGGTTCGGCCAAGGCCTCCTGTATAGTACCACTCCTTACATTTCGGCCGCGTATATTTTTGGTTAGTGATCAATCTTTAAATACCGCCAGTTTCATTAACGCTCATTTAATAATGGCGTTTTAATTATATTTTTTTCCATATTTTGGTGCCTTATGTTTAAAACAAATTAAAAAAAACATATATTGACATAGACGAGTCCACTGTTTAGTATGATAACTTTGGATAGAATCAATTTTGAGTTAAAAAAACAAAACATTACACATCAATATCAATGATTGGGTAAACATTATATTTCATGCTTAATTCAGTGTGGTAATTTGATGTTCCGGAATGATTTATCGGTTAGATTACTCAATTTTCAGTCTTAATTGATACAGCATAACTCTGGAACCAATTTAGTCTGAGCCACTAAATTTGTACCTTATGTTTTTATTAAAAAGTGGTATAGAGTGTGTAAGTTTCGTAATATTTCACTCTGGCCTTTTTTTTATATTCAAATTAAAAAATCGCCAAAATCGAATTTTTTCCGTTTTTGAAAATTCATATTTAAAAAAGTAAATCCTAACTCTTCCTACTCATCACTCTTTTCCCAGTCCGCTGGTGTTCCTCAAGGAAGCATCTTAGGTCCCACCCTTTACACAGTTTATACAGCTGATATTCCGACCCATCCTTCTACCGTCCTTACCACTAGTGTTGCCCAAAATCGTTCTTGGCCTTGCACTTAGCAAGATCAAGACAAAGGCCGCATGACTGTCGCAAGACCAAGACCAAGACTGGTAAAAAAAATCGATTTTTAAAATAAAAATTAAGACAACATAGTTACTAATATTTGACAAATTCAGTTGCTGTTAGTAGAGAATTGGTATAACCAATATACTTTTGCATTTAACTCCTCTAATTTTTCATTCGGGCTTAGTTAGGTTTCTCCTATCTGAAAAATTACAGTAATATGTCTATAGTAATAAGTTAATAAATACCTGCAAAACTATTGCTAGACCATTGCGAAATACCGATACCATGACCAAGACTGAGTTTGCAAGACCAAGACTCGCCTCGATCTCGCATTTGGGCAACAATAATGAACCAATTGTTGCTTCTCAATAACTGCAGTCACACATTTCAGCCATTGAAGAATGGTGTCATAACTGGAGAATCAAAAATTAATTCAAACAAATTCCAACAAATTACTTTTACCCTCCGTCTTAAAACCTACTACATCCTACCTTCCAGTATCTTTTAACAATATTCTACTTATCCCGGTCGAACAGATCCGTTACTTAGGACTCCTTCTTGACAAACGTCTTACTTGGAATCCTCATACCAGATTGAAAAGACAAGAAACTGCTAACAGATTCAGACATCACTTACTTGACAAACCCTCTAAACTTCCTATATTCTACAAAAAACTCATATCCACTTCCCTCATCAGGCCCATTTGGACATATGGAACAGAGCCTTGGGGCTCTACGAAACCATCAAATTCTTTCCTCTCTAATCCTTACAATCGAAAATCCTCCGTAAAATCCTTAATGCTCCTTATTATATCACAAATAAAATTATTCATTAAGACTTCAACATTCCCTTTGTTGAAGACTTGGCTCGACTAAGATACTCCTCTTTTAATTCCAAACTCCTTGGTCACCCTAACCCTGTAGTTCATAACCTTTCATCCAAAACAATTCCTGACAAGTCTCAAAATTTCAGGGAAAAAATTGAAGGAAATGAAACTTAATTTGCGAATAACTCAAAAATTATATATTTTTCAAAAAAAAAATCATTGACATCGGACAAGATACAGCCTATAGTAATAAACACAAGTTTATGTTTATTATTATGTGATTCCATTAAGAAAAAGGAAATTATTTCTTCTATCTCATAATACATCACATTTACTTCTTAACTATATTATGTCATCCTACATTCATTGACCAATTTAAGATGGGAATTATTCGCACGGGTCAACTAGTAAATATTTTTTATAATTGCATATTTTTTTAACAGCTTTTCTCACTCCTTAGGGAATGTATTGTGAGGACAAAAAATACATTGCAAAATATCATCATAATTTTAGTTTTTGTTTTGTTTTGATATCTGCAAAAATACCGAAGTTAGAGTTGTTAGGGCGTACTCAGATAGGATTGAAATTTCATCAGCATATAGAACACTGATAGAGCTACAGATAAAATAAAAATCAAGCGTAAATACAGCGCTAAAGATCTCGTTTTATGTTAATTTTCGTGTTTTTTTTTTTTTAAATCATTTCTCTTCCTTTTTAAGTTATTTCTCAAAGGACAAGCAATTTAGTTTAGTTTGATACCCACAAAATTACCGAAGTCAGAGACTTTTTTTCCTAAATTTTCACGTTTAAATTCAAAATGGCAACCAAGAAAAAAGTATGAGGCTCAACAATTTTTAAACTATAGTTTTAAACTCTCCTGGTAAAAAAAATACAAAAATAAAAACAGTTGAGCTGCTTGATATGGGTGATTTCATATAGATAGATTCTTGTCCATATTTAAATTTCTACAATACATTGATAGTGCGAGGTAAAGACACCTTTTTATCAAATTATTAACATCCGCCTAAAACTTCGTCATGTTATTTTAACCTACACATTTTTAATCTAAGAAAATTCTCATAAGTGAGGCGTTTTCTCATTAAGTTAATTAATTTAATTAGATACTAAAAACTGATAAATACCCCTTTTCTTTCCACTTGAATAGTAAGATAATTTGATCTCTAAATCGAAAAAAAAAAAAAGGTGGCCTACAAAATATTGAGCAGTTTTTCTTTTATAATTTCGTTATTTTGGCATCTTGGGGTTGGAGTTCTCACCGAACAGCCCAGTGTTTTTGTAGGCCACCTTTTATCTCGATTTTGTGATCAAATTATCTTATGATTCAAGTAGAAAGCAAATGGGTCTTCATGAGTTTTTAGGATCTTATTAAATAGACAAAGTTTGCCGGTCTCTAAATTGGAAAGGCCTCAATCCCGAGAAGTTTCGTAAATAAAAAAGTTTTACGTTACGCTGAGATGAAATCATTCGCGAAATTTTAGACGGATGTTAACAATTATAATAATAACACAGACTATGACTTGTATTGTGTTAATTCACAGACGGATCTACGAGGGGGGCTTTCGGGCTGAAGTCTCTCCCTCCTCCTTCCAAAATTGTAAAATATAACCATGTCTCACAAAAAAAGTATTAAAAAATCTAAAACTAAGACACCATTTCATATAGGTACTTAGGATCTTTCTTCTTCCTACAAAATAATAGTCGTTATATATATAAGCTTTCGGACTGAAACCCCATCAAAATTAAATCCTGGATCCGCTAGTGTGTTTACTGATGAAGTCTGTTTATATTCGATATTATGAACCGTTAAAAATAGAAATATTTTAAATTGCTTTTATAAATATTTGTATAAACGCAGATTAGCTGTTGACTAATAGTCACTTAACAGGATTATTAAAGTGAAACCTCAAAAATACAAGGTTGCACTTATTCGAAACCTATCATAGAAACGCTGTAGTTGTTGGATGTGATTAATTCCTTACGAATAACTCCTTTCCTTTTTTGGAATTCACAGTTTTAATGAATACAAGGCCATTGATGTATCAATTTTAGCAACATAATCTATGCTTGATAACTTTCGAAATTTCTTATCGGTCTTGTTGTTGGTATTGCTTTGCAAGTAGAGAAGGTACGAGTTACACTTGCTGTGGTGTACACGTATTCGCAAGCGGTACCATTACCCACTTCCATACTGTACCAGCGCAGTCAGATCGTGGTATTTGCCAGTCCTTGGCCGGAGAAAGGTTCGCTGTTCGCTCGCTGTCGTATAGCAAGCTCATTAGCGAACGGTTACAATTACTAAACTGCTTTGCAGTCTCTCTAAAACATTATAAATGAACTGCTAAAAATTAATTAACATGTAATTAATTTCTTATGAGCAATTAGTCACTTTACCTTCGTTACGTAATATTGAATTTGTACAAAATATTTGAGTCGCTTATTTTCAAAGTGAATCTTATTCTGTATTTCTTTTTTTTTTTTAAATCGAGATAAGTATCCATTCTCAAGTGAAAACAGCCAATGAATCCGATTGTGTAATTTTTTTTTTTTAAAGAATCTAAATATTAAAGAAAATTTATGTGAAAATAATATTATATCCGAAACCTCTCTTTTTTTTTCAAGGAGCTATGAAACATGAATTCCTTAAGTATGCTTTAAAAAAAACAGTCATCAAAGTAATTCGAATGTTAAACATTAGAGGGAGGAGGTAGTGCCATACGTGAATGACAAGCATCAATAAATGCGCAAACATATAAGGTTATTTTGGTATTTGGTGTACTACAAATAGTTGTTCAATGATGTTGTAATGTAGAAATACATTTTAGTTGATAAAAATGTTTTTGATGACTTGATCATGAGCTCGAAACGTCATTGGAATTAGAATAAAAAATTTGAAAGTATAAGGACTTATATATTTCTTGAAGACACCATATATAAGAACATTGAGTGCCCTTAAAAAGTTCTACTGTAAGAGAAAACTACAAATAAATTATTGAATATTTAATAGTAGACCGTTGCATTATAAAGGAAGGAGATGGTTCGAGGTGGTGGTCATAAATAGGCTAAATAGTGAAACTCCAATTCTAGGCCAGTTCTAAGTGAAACTCCTAGCTGAACACTCCTCCCTGAAGAAGACCTGCAAAGTCGGGTCGAAACGTTGGCTTTTAATAAAATAGTTTTATCATTATTTAGCCTATTTATGACCGTCACCCCGGACCATCTCCTTCACGTACAAATAAATTAATTTTCCTTTATTATTATTATGTGATTTTAATTTACATAAACATTTCACCTTATCTGATTCCAAATATCACAATTATTTTTTTATAAAAAACAATCATTTATTAAAAAAAAAAAAATTAAAACCAAAATTACATTTAAAGTTATATAAATTATCACAAATTTAAACAGATTACAATAATTTAATGGTTTCCGCTACCTTATTCACATTAACTAATTACAACAATTAACCAAGTCCTATTAAGAATTTCAGTTTTGTATGTTGTTTTTTGAGAAACTGATCCTCTGCAACTATTGAGAGTACTAATAATTTCTCATTTTTTTCAATTTTTATTTTCAATTCACTTCTTTAAAATTTTATTGCATTAAATTCTAAGTTTAGTTATAAGTCTGTTACAGATTGATGTCAAGTATTTATAAATACAATTTTTTTGCTTATTGATCATCAATTATTAAAATCTATAAGCTGTTATTAAATTATTTCTTTGCCGATGAATATGATTAAACGACGCTTTAAATTTATTCGACATTAATAATCATTTTATTATTGGTGAAGGTGCTTGACTCGAGCGATTAATCAACTATTAGTTTTGAATTATGCAAAATAGAAACTCAGTTATTTTGAAAAATTGGGATTTAGGTAGTTGGTCTATCATCTATCACTGCCAACAGATGTTAAAGATGTTTATTAAATTATAGCCAATTACTTCTTTTTTTAATGAATATTTATTATTAACTTAAAGCATTTATTATATAATAATTATTGCTTGATAAAGTACCTGTTATCAGCATAATAATTACGATTTGTTGTAAGCAGACAGTTGACATAAATATTTTTTATTCATAGTTTTATCAATTTTATTTTTTTAACATTTTCAAAAAATAACATATAAAGCACTGGTGGATCCACGAGGGACTTTCGGGCTGAAGCTCTAAAATTCGTTTTCACTGGTTCATATTTATTACTGTGAGTAATCTTATAGTCACATATTATCCATAGCTGATCAAGGTTTTAAATTTGAGAAGGCTTGGTTTTTTTTTAATTGCCATATCAAAAAATTGTGGACTTCCAATGCTCAATGTCCCAGATTGGATTCAGCTGATGGAAAATAAATTCTAAACTCTTTGGGAACACTAAGCTTCTGTAATGTGGGTTACCATTAACTAAAATTAATGGTAAAGGGAGAAAACTTGGCGGTTGAGCGTGATCCTGGTCAAATCACAGCCTTGTACAACCGTTCACCAAGAAATAGTGCTTCTCTAGATAGTATTTGAACTGTTTTTTAAGATTTGTCTTCGGCACTTCGAGATGGTCTTATGTGTCCCACCTATATTCCGAGTCAAAGTGGCTCTTCCCATCTTCCCGCCGCCTATACTTCCTTGGAAATTTCTTATATCAAATGATCAACCCCCAGCACCCTTCCTATATCTACTGTCTCCTCCAGCCGAAGCCTTTAGTGCACTCAATAAAAACGAGATCCCGTGATTCTGACCTCTATATTCCATCACACAAGACAAAATCCTTTGGACGTTCCTTCTTAGCCCGCTCCGTCACCTATTGGAATTCTTTGCCGTATAACATCCGTCATGCCTCTTCACTGTCAACCTTCAATACCTCCTTTTCCAATATCTCCTCACATCCCAAACAGAAGATTCGCAACCATAAATTTCATTTTATGAACTGTATTTGTGAGAAGTAAATGGTGATGCCTACAGTTTAAGTTTTTAACATAAAACAGCAATGATTTTTTACTATTATTTTTACTATTTATTTGTATTTCTCTTCACCTCAGGTTGTGCTTTTTCTTTCATGTATATATGTTATATTTTATACTTTTTACCTTTATACCACAATTATTCCTGAGATTTTATTTTATCTTAGTGTTTGCTTATTATTGTATGAATCACTGTAAATATTATTACATTTTGTATTAAATTATGTTTCTATTAGATAGCCTGTTGTTTATAAATTGTGCAGTTATGTATATATAGATATGTAATCTCTTTTCTGTCTTTTTTTTTTTTACCATAATAATAAGTAAATTTGGAGAAGATTGTATGTTCATTTATGTGTGTGTGTGTGTGTGTGTGTGTGTGTGTGTGTGTGTGTGTGTGTGTGTGTGTGTGTGTGTGTGTGTGTGTATGTGTATGTATGTATATATATGTGTATGTGTGTGTATGTATGTATATGTGCGTGTATTTATATATATGTATATTTTTTTGGTTTATTTCTTAATGGTTACATACTACTTTTTAAATAATGTATATTATGTTAGAATTTTTATAAGTTAGTTTTTGGCCAGATTTGTACTTTATTTTGTATTAATTTATCTTTGTTATTATAAAGGTACTTAGTCCCAGAATAAAGTTCTATTTTCTATTCTATTCTATTCTACTAAACCCAAGATCTTTCATGAGTTGTATTGGTACATGTTCCCAATCCTCTCCTCTCTTTCAATCTTCACCATCCCGTCGCGCGTAATTTAAATTATCAGCTAAATCTGAACCTTTTCAATTGTTTTATATACATATATATAAATGATCGTTCTTACACAGGTTCGTTTTTCAACACGTGAATTTCGGAAGGGCGGCTTGGTTTTTGTTTTTCTTAAAGATTACTTAAACACTATATTATAGGTATAGTTTATTTCTCTTTCATTTAATTTTCTGTTTTTAAATTCTTATTGTGGATTCACCTAGTATTCTGGATTATGGATACATTGGTAGTTTTTCATTTTTTAGATTTTTCCTGTAGAAACATGACGTATTTCATTATTTTATTCTTCGATTTTTTGGTATTTCAATAAATGAAGAAATTAGACCAAGAGATTCGAAACATTGAAAACACTTCCTATGACCTCCAGCACAAATTCTCCCGACATACTGGATACATTACCATACAGCAGGAAATGTACTCTGGTACCCTAATATATGGACAAAATATAAAATAAAATAAAATAAATATAGAGGAGGGGAATAAATAAAATAAAACTTTTCTCGCTACATGCGGTCATGACCCGCAATGATAAATGCCAGACGCGGGTGTTGCCGGCCTCGTGTTTCCACGGCCTCCTGGATAAGTTATCGGAAATACTTTCGATATTCAGGTGCAAGAGTCTCCTTCATAATAAATAAAAACGATAAATATTTACATAGGAGTTGTTACAATACACGTGATAACTCAGGGAATGTGTGATCGAGGTGCTCGCGCCTATGCATACGCCCGCAGATGGCATTGTTCTTATTAATGTCGGCTAGTGAAAGTGCTTCTGGTGTTGATAAATCGCTGAATAATAATTTGGAACGAAATCTTGATCAGTTCACACTAAAAAAATATAAATCTATTTGAAGGGTGTCCATCCCCACTCCAATGTTGATGGTTCATAAACCATAAATTCATGTGGTTCATAAACTCTTCTTTAAAATAGTGCAAGAAAAAGTAGAATTTAAAAAGTACGAGATCATGAAACATTACACACATTTTTTTATTGAAACACTATCGTGCTTAACCATTACCTTTTAGGCAACAAGGGTGTTTGCAGTAGCCAGATATTAAGCATGTCAGCATAACATCTCACTACTGCAAGGAAAAATTTATTATTTGTCAGGATTTCTTGACTCATTTTCTTTCCATTCAATGTTCTTCCATTATCTCTTCCTCCTCTTAGATTGAAGAGGACTGGGCAATTTGGGCAGACACTATTTGCGGTCTGTTCGATATTTCCCCTTGCCCTCTGGTTTGAAACTTTTAATTTAGAAAATTCATTACTCAGTCTAAATTATCTCTCCTCTCCTAAAATTCAAAAACCTATAAAAAGGTGCTCCCCTAAAAAATTTGTATGGCACAATTTGTCCTATGAAAACCCTTGTTAGGCATCCCTGATCTGTATCACCAAATTCTAGTGGAAAGCATGGGCGTCGTACAGTTTAAATTATTAAGGACCTAGACGTTAATGTGCGGTGAAACATCTCTTAGCGGAACACTTCTCTTAGCGAAGCCTTTTATAAACCCCATCAAATATATAAATATTTGTTTGTATAGTATTTGTATTTGTAGTATTTGTTTGTATAGTATTGCCTTACGAATACCGAACGGTTTCTATAATGGACCTTTTTTAAATGAAGTTGAAACTCATACATATCTAGAAAATAGATTACTATTTTTATTATATTTTATTTGGTTATTTAATTTCTCAAAGGATTCTTTACATTTTCTTCATCTCTTCTAGGAATAAGTGTATTTGGAATTTTTTGCAACACTTCAATCAAACCTTCATGTAATATTTCCAAATACTGAACTTCCAAAATGAAATTCTGGATCAGCTAGTGTCTTCTTCTATAACAGTTTTCCATTTTTAAAACATTTTTAAATCAAATTTTGTATGTATTCAATAGGTATGCCTTTCCTGAAAAAAATCTTTGGTTTTGAATTAAAGGAAGGCAATACATCGTTTTAACTTCATCGACTAAACTCATGTTACTGCCGCGTAGCTCTTGTTTTGGATACTTAAAAAAAATGATAATCCAAAGAGGAAATTAATCAGGAGAATATGTTGGGAGAGGAATAATTTCCCATCCAAAGTACTTCAATTTTTACATTTTTAGTTTTGAGGCCTTGCATTGTTATGGTGGGATTAAATGCTTTGTCTATTAATAAGTGAGGAACATTTTTCCTAAATTTCTCGCTTCAATTAACCCAGCTGATCAGTATACAAATTTAGTGATAGTTTGTTTAAGATCAAGGAACTCATGATGTAGAATTCCTTTCACATTCCACCAAACTGACATTATTACTTTTTTCGGATGAAGTCCTTCTCTTGCTTCATTGTTTCTATATGCTTCACTATTGTCGTTCACTAATGACGTTTTCTCAATATATTTCTGCAAGTTTCCGATAATTTGAAGCACCATTTTCTCGATTATCGAATTCCCAAAGTATGACGTGGTTTTTGTGGAAATCTATTTTAATTGAAATTTCAGCACAGAATAACTAACTTTCTCATAAAAAACAACAACATGATAAATAGAAGAATATGTAATGCTATAATAAATAAAATATGTAAACACAGTTCAATTGTAAAGGAGTGATTAGTAATATCAACAAATAGATTTTGAAAAATCGACGTTACTTATGGGATGAAGGTACATATCAGAAGTTTTAGAAGTAGGTTAATTACAAATATATTATACGCTTAATATCGATTAATGATATTTCGATTCCTGTAGCGTTCCGTAGCATGTAATAGGGTTGGGTCATTGTCAACAAAGTAAACACACCTACTAATCACGTGATTACGTTGAAGGGCAATTCCTGGACCGTCGATATTCCTCGAGTCTTTGTTCCGTCCCTTCGTCTGTAGCCATTTTGATTTCTTTTGACTGAACCGAAGTATTGTACTCAGTCCGTCTGTCCTCATCTAAAATTCTTTCCCGAAAATTTTTTTTCTAGGTTTGTCCTGTGTAATCCAGTTCAGGAAACTGATGAATTATTTTCTCTGAACGCGATTTAAGTTATTATTGATAATTAATATATCTTCTTCTTATTTTGATTTAGATAAAAAATGGAAATTAATTTCAATGTATCATTACTTAAACTTTTTTTTATTTTTTAATTATATTTACAACTGTATTAAAGAAATTCATTTAGTAAATTTGAACATATGCATATAATGACTTGAAAACATTTGTTGAGAAACTACCCAATGGTAGCACTCTGATGATATGTCTACATTAGAAGATCACGGGTCATCTTTTTTCAGATGTCTCGGAGGGTTATCAGGAATTGAAGAGGAATCAAGTTTAGAAACGATGGGGTTGGGATGATTCAGAAGTTTACTATGGAGAGATAGGTATCTGGATTGGGTCAGATCTGAAACATTAAGGTCATTATGGATGGTTTTATTTGTAATAAAGTAGGGAGCATTAAGAATTTTACGAAGGATTTTGGATTGTAAGGATTGGATAAGAGAGGAATTCGATGGTTTAGTGGAGCCCCATAGCTGTACTCCGTAAGTCCTAATAGGCCTTATTATAGTCATGTAAATGAGTCTTTTGTAATTAACTGGAAGCTTAGAGCGTTTGTCTAGTAAGTGCTGAAGTAATCGGAAACGTCGAGCAGTTTCTTGTCGTTTCAGTCTGGTATTTAATTAAACTAAATTTTAAAATAAACTCGTACTCCCCAGTGAGAACATGAGGCAAATCGCCAGATTTTTTAATGTACGGGGTCCTGTAAATAAAAGAAAAAATATATAAGAATGATATCAGGCCAATTCATATAATTGAGGGTGAAAATCACAGTTTCATAACCACTTTATATGAAAAATCATTATTTTAATTTTTCTTTTTGTTATAGAATAAAAAAGTGTATTTTGGAAATTATATGTATTATAATACATCTCAGGTCATGATAAAACAAGAAATAAATTCTTTGCTACGATATTGTAGTGCTTTAAAGCACGGGTACTGATGGTAACAGAAAATGACGAAATCCCATAATTTTTTTACACAACTTGTGGTGAATCTCAATTTTTTTGCCGATCTACTTAACTTAAATTGATTTTAAGTTTATTAAACGAGGAAGATTTTTAAAAGTGGGGAATCTTTACTGTAGTTTTATATTGCTCTCTGCTTACGCTACAGTCTGTATATTTATAAAATGTAAGCTTGCTTAAATTACGATATTTGTAATCGATTGAAATGATTTTGGCCTACTTCATTGTGTCACTCAATACAAACTTTTTTTTATTCAAATGTGATTTTTTAACATTTTTATCAGGACTTTATACATATTTTTTGAATGAACATTTAAATTCATAATATTAATTTTTTTCGTCCTAATAATTGTATTATTCGCTGAAAATGTGCGACGCCATTGGATTTTTCACCTTAATTATTTTTCATAGCTTATAAAAAACTAAATTAATCGGACATTTAAGAGTTCGTAAATAACGTTCTTAAATAACGGGGGCTAACCTATATTGAAAATGAGAAAGGTGTGGACATAAATATTACCACTAACAAAAAACTAATGTGTCTTTCAAACTGTATTTATTTTCTTCTAGTGAGCACTATTACTATGCGTTTTTTTTTTTGTTTGTTTTATACTACTAAAATAATCCCTATAGTATTATTAATATAGGTATATTTGAAATAGAAATATAACTAATGATACCTTGGATAATTATCTGTGTCAGTAATAAAAACAAAATAAATTAACATCTATTTAAATCAACCAGAATTATTAAGGATAAAAAAATTTATTCCGACATGATTAAAATTAATGGAACTTATCAGTTAACTCGGCTAATAAAAGCAATAATTCATTTATATAAGTCGCAGAGAGTAATCAAGAATTCTTGTATGCCATAAACGTACTGCATTCTCTATCGACAACGGGACGAGGATTAAAATTTCCTACTCAATTATAATGCTTTGTACCATATTTTTTACACATTTTATGATAAGCAAATTGTATTCAAAAGTTTTAAATAAAAATGAAAGAAATACGGATAACCAGTCTCATTAAGTATGTTTTTTTTTTAGATTTTAATTTTTAATATTGAATAATTTTGAGAAATTTAACAGTTAAAAAAATTAATAAAATTTATTGAAAATAGGGCTTCCAAAAGTTATAGTAAGGCATTATGGTAACTTTATAAGTTATTTTTATTTGAAAATAATTATTCTTATTTTTGTAAAAAATATAATATCCGATTTTTCCTCTTATTTGTATTATTATAAAAATAATTATCTGAGAAGAAGTTAATCGGGGGGTCAAATAAATAAAGGGGCAGTCAAATAAATACTAAATTAAAATATATTAATTATTTTAAATAATGTTATGTACCATATTTTTTTACAGATTTTATGATAAGAAAATTGTATTCAAAAGTTTTAATTAATATATTAATTAATATTTATATTATATTAATTTAATTATTATATTAATTAATATATTTTAATTTAGTATTTATTTAACCGCACCCCCCGATTAACTTCTTCTCATATTATATCAACAGTCAACCATCTCTACATCATTAAAAATAATTATCATTGAAATATGCATAATTAGGGAAAAACTGTATGCATTTTTTTTCATGACTCACTTAAACGTTTATTTATATACATAGTTATATTTTTAATACTTATAGTAAAGGTTTAACCTCGTAGGAAGCATAAGAATGAAGTAATAATAATATGGCTTAGCGAACCCGAAGGTTCGATGCCGATACCACCAACCGATGTCCACATTCTTCCATCCACCGTTCTCCGTCCAAACTCAACCCCGCCAAATCAGCCTTAACGCAATTTTCCCACCTTCACTTTGGCCTAACTCACGGTCGCTTACCTGTCGGTACAGCGCATATTAACTTTTTAGGAATTCTTTCGTTACTACCGATGTTACATGCCCATTTTATACAAGGATGAAATTATTAAGTAATTAAATTATTACTTAAATCGTTTACCATGTTGCTGTAATATTGTAGCTTTAATGACGTATTACATTAAATGCCCAACACATTTGTGTTAGTAGGAACGTATCTAAGTGTCATTAGAAAAGTTTACAAATAGCTGATTAATTGATAATAAAGTTATGAATCGATAGAATTTAAAAATACTAAACAAACAGGCGTAGCTCAATTTTGATTATACAAATATGTCATGTCATCATTTGCCTCAGGAGACGATATATCAATATCTATACCACTATTTACCATAAACAGCTAATTAGCTGCGAAATTACTGACCAGGTTATTAGTATTTACATAAAAATTATGTACACGTCATTTATTTATCATAGCAATTTCTTTGAAATATTTTGCCTTATTCAATGTTGATTGATTCGCTGAAATTTCGCCGACAGATGAAAGCGGGGCTCATTAAGCGTTCCCTTGAAAGTAGCTGTTACATCAGGGAACAGTAACCGGTAACCAGCATTAGTTGCCTCGTTAGTGAGGTCAGGTCCGGAGGGAAATTAATGCCATGTTTGGGACCTCGAGCAGGGGCAATATTGGCCAATTGAACCAGTAATAGGGTCCAGGTATAGGGTTTGCAGTCTTCAATAGCAGAAATCATCAACCACGGAAATAATCCTTGTAAGTTGGTTAATTGGTTCAAACAGCCTGATATTGATTGAACAGTCAGTAAGTGTGAATGAATGAATATAAATGAATTAATATAATTTGTATTAATCAAAACTTCCTTCAAATGTAAATCATTTACATATACATTATGTACAAGTATTATACGTTGGTATAGATCATAGGTGGGGAACCTACGGCATCTAGGCCGCATGTAGCCTCCGTGAGCTAGATGCGGGGAAAACAAGGGTACTATAAGTTTTTAAAAATACGTTTTTAAAAAAATAAAAGTTAATATTAATAGAAGAGAAGTTAAAGAGTACAGTTTAAATATCAATAAGTACAATAAGAAAAGTTGAAAAAAATCATTAAAATTAAATATTAAAAAAGATAGGTTAACAAAGACATTTAAATAAAAGGTTAATGAATTTAAGAATATAATCTAAAAATATGGTTTACAAAATATAATTAATATTAAAAGAAGAAAGGTTAAAAAGTACAATTTAAATATTAAAAATTACAAGAAGAAAAATTGAAAAAAACATTATAATTAAAATTAAGATTAAAAGAACAAAATTAACAGGTATATTTACAATTACAAGATGTGATTACAATTTTGTGATTACATTTTTTGAAATATTTTGATTTCCTTACGGAACAATATTAAATTTTTAATATTAAATATTTAATAGTTAACCGTGCCATTATAAAGGAAGGAGATGGTCCGGGGTGGCGGTCATAAATAGGCTAAATAGTGGTAAAACTATTTTTAGTAAAAGCCGACGTTTCGACCAGACTTTGCAGGTCTTCTTCAAGGAGGTGTATTCAGCTAGGAGTTTCACTTAGAACTGGAGCTAGTTCTAAGTGAAACTTTCACAGTCGGGTCGAAACGTCGGCTTTTAATAAAATTATTTTTACCACTATTTAGCCTATGTATGACCGCCACCCCGGACCATCTCCTTCCTTTAAATGTTTAATATCATTGGGGTCCTTTTGGAGTGATTCTTCAAGGCTATTTCTGAAAAGATGTTGATCCCTAGAAGATTGGAATGCATAGCATTCGGTTAGGATATGGTTCACTGTGAGAGGTACTCCGCAGAAAATACATTGAGTAGGAGAGTCTTTCCTCATTAAATACTAGTGGGTAAGCCTAGTACGTCCGATCCTTAGCCGGGTCTGTACTATTTCTTCTCTTCTTGCCACCAGGATAATTGGAGTAATTCTCCGGACGTATGGTTCCACAACCCTTAGCTTAAACCATGATTTTTCTTTGATTAAAGAAACAACTTCAGAAGGTTGTGTGGTGATGGTTGGTTGACCCTCTTTGATAGCTTTCT